CACTTCCAAACTAAGTCCATAAAACACATATATTATGAAATACAACACAATCATTCAAAACCAATCGAACATATCATCAACTTTTTAGAACAGTTAAGTATCATTCAAACTTACTTTTTCAAGTAAAACAAAGAATACATAACAATACTCTCATAAGCATATAATATACACTATGTATAATGATTAAAAAGAGTTCTCCTTACCTTGAAATGAAGTTTTGGAAAGGATATTTGTGGAGAATATCGTTTAAGCAATATAAATCTTTCTAAACATCACAAAACATAGCACATTTGAGAAAATAGAAAATAGAAAGAATAGAACAGAGCTTGAAAAACTAAGCTTTGAGAAACTTACTTGTAGTCGATCGTCCAAGTTTAGATTCAAGAAATGATTAGGATTTAAAGGATGTTTCTCTTGGGAAAGAAAGTTAGAGTTCAGAGAGATATGAAAGAAAAGGTAACTTGAATTGTAATGCAATTTTTTTGGCTTAAAATCTCTTAAATACTCCTCAAATTTGCAAGCTCCGTTTGAGCGAGCTAACATCTCGCTTGAGTGAAAACATCATACAGTGGTTTTCTAGACTTTTTTCTAATATTCTTGCCTAAGCAAGAAGGGATCCAGAGAGTTCTCCAAATTTTCTTGCGAGTCCACTTAAGCAAGCTCCATTTTGCCTGGACGAGAGGACAATTAGAGAAATTCTATCCTATCTCACCCGTGCGAGAATGCTCTGGAATCTCCTAGTCCAAAACACTCAGTCTCGCTTGAGTGAGACTCCCTATAGCAAACATCATTTAAAGATTTTCAAATTAAAATACAATCCAACTTTAAATAATAACGAACAAACAATTTAAGAAAAACACAGTATTATAATATATATATATATATATATATATATATATTTAATTTTTTATTTTCTAGACAAGTATCTGAGATTATTTATTTTCTTTTTTCTAAACTATATAAAAGAAATAATATGTAACGTAGATTATTATTGATGTTAAAATCAATTGAAAAATTAACATTTTATATTTAATTCAAAGTTAAATCGAAAGAAAAGTATAAGAAATATTTTAAGAAAAGTAAACTAAAAAATAAAATGAAATATATTTTCTTATTTTTGTGATTAAAGTGTTTATTTGCTTGTGCTTACAATATAATTTTATTTTTGTTGTCAATATTATATGTGATAGTTAAGGCTTAATTATATTTTTATTATTATAAAAGTAGCATTATTTAAAATTAGTTATTTTAAAAAGTATTTTCTCTGTTAAGTGATGAATTGGATAATAAAAGTTTAACTTATTACTTATATAAGTTTTTTGAAAATATTTATTAAATGTGATGTTAGTCAACTTATTATTTAACATAAAATAGTTGATAATAGAAAGTAATTTTAAAAATATTAAGAATTAAGTTTTAACAATTATTTAAGGACTAATTTTAAAGAATATTACTTTTATAAAGAACAAAATCATAATTAAATTGATAATTAATACAGATGTATTCCTTTTCAACTTGTGGCATTTAGTGAATTAGGAATGTAGTAGCTTGTTTTCCTTCCCCTAGAATTTTTACTTTTAAAAAACCCTTATTTATGCGACCTGACTCAATATGCATCAAGTCAGAAATAAATAAATATAGAAGGCAGAGTAAAAGGAATCATTTGCTTTACTAACCTGTTGACAAGGGAAAAAACGAGAGTCGAGAAAAAGATTTTAAATTTTCATTTTGGGTACGTAAAAAAAAAGTAGTGTTGTTCGAATGCAACAAAAAGACAAGTATGTGATGTCACAGATGCTTAAAGTAATACTCCACACACACACTTTGTACCAACTATATCCGTTGGCAAATAATTAAGTCTTTGTAAGTGATGATTGGAATTTATTCTCCACGCTATGTTCATCCCTTAAAAAGAATACACTTGAGGATACTTTTGTGTTAAAAATAATAGAAAAGACTATCGTTTATTTTTTTAAAAATTAACCTTATTGCTACTAGAATTTTTTCATATCCTTCTTAATTAGTTTTATCACAATATTTGAACATGTAAAATTAATAAAATATTTTATTATACACTATTCTCTTTATCAATTTCTATATTATCAATAAAAGTTAATTATTTTAAAAATTAAAGTATTAAGAAAATTACTTTTTTTATGATTTTTTTATATATTTAATATTAAAATTAACTAAAAATAATATATAAATTATACTATTTTTAATATGATTATTTTAATTTTTATTTACATACTTGCTAATTATATTCTAAAAATTTTTAAGATTAAAATTGATACTCTACTTTTTCATATAATTTTTTAGCATTTTTTGTTAATACTTATTTTTATATTTATAAAATATCTTATTTTTTAAAATTTAGAGTTTATTTTTTGAGTCTTATCTCTTAAATTTATAATTATTTATATATTAATTTTTAACATTTAATTAAAACTCCTTTTAACACTATATGATAAAAATATCATTTTAAAATAAGTTATATCTTAAAATTATTTAATTTTATTAAACTTTTATCAATTTGAAACACATTATTTATAGTAATAGAGTTAAAACAAAATAAATTTTTAAAATTATTGTTCAAAATGATTTTATTATATATGTATATAATATTTGCAAAAAAAAAAAATTGTTCTTTAATTATTAAAATATATATATTTATTTTAAAATAAAATAAATGTGCATTGTATGGGTTACTAACTAGTTATTTTATAATTTGACTCATTAGTTCTTTAGTCAATGTTTAAGTTTCTTCAACTAATACTAGGCATATTGGTATTTAAAAAAAAAAATTCAAAGCTAAGTCTTAAGTGTAAGCTAAAAGGCTATTTCTTATATGTTAGAGTCTTTGTTTCTAGAAAATTATTAATTTTTCTTCCTTTAAAATTGATGTGTCATTTTTAAATTCTCTTTAATTTCCCTTTGAACATACAAATTTAAATTATTTTAAGTAATTAAGTATATTATCTTTATACCTACTAATCATTGATTAAAGTTGGATAAAAATTCATTGTTATATATACTTTTCATAATTGTAAAAAATATTAATCCTTAAGAATTGATTCACTTATTATAGGTAAAATTTAGTATTTTTTGTCATCTATCTTAAAGGTCAAATTCGATTTCGTCCTCCAATATTATTTTAATTCAGTCATTTAACTTTTTAAAAATATTTCAAATAATTTTTTTTGTTAAAAATGTTAATTCTATTAATATTTTTTTTGTTTTTTTCTTTCATGTATTTTGTTTTGCACTATTCATTATCTTCTTCCTCAGATTCTTGCATTATTCATTATTATTTTTTTCTCAATTCTCTAATTTTGCTTTATTCCTTAAATTTGTGCAATGTTCTATATATTACTTATGAATAAACATTTTGACAATAACTGCAAAAGACAATATCAGCCATGACCTTAGACATGGTGGGTGGAATGTGTGCTTGCAATATTTTGTCATTTAAAACCAAATTCTCCCTGCAAATTATACACTCTGCGTCTTTCTCCAGATTAGCTGAGATTTCCTATGTGAGAGTAATGATTGGAAGTTTTACCACAACTTCTTTATTGGCAAGAGAGGCTCTTAGAACCACATGACATTCATCTACTATCTAATCAAAGAGAAAATCATATTACAACAAAATAATGCAAAGTGTAATGATGCAATGGCTACTTATGATAACAAAATACATATATCAATGAAAAATAAGTTGAAAAGAACAACAATATGAATAAGGAATTAACATAAAGAATTTAATTGAACATATTATAATTATATCTAACTACCTTTCAAGTAATGCATTAGCAACAATACTAAATTCAATAAAGCAACTGTGACAAGGAACATTATGTATAAGGATTTAAATAGAAGTCAAGTTGATACTTAAGCTGTTTGCATTGATACATTAACTTATTGTGAAGAAGTATCCTATTCAACATTTAGGGTTTAGGGTTTAGGGTTTAGGGATAGGTTATGAAAATCCACACTGCGCAACTAATCTTCTTTTTTGTGTCAATTAATAAGCCCGTGGATTTGGAGGCTTAAGTGGTACTTCCTGGTACTTCACTTTCTTTGGAGCATTAAGCAGTTCTTCAAAGGGAGCTTTGAATGTTTGTACTTTTGCTATTCTTTGTTTAACGAAATAAAACCAGAAGAAAATTTTGATCAATCGGAGATTTCAAATAAATACCAAAGATACAGTTTCTAATATATTCATAAGCTTTTTAAACACATTTGAAGTATCCTCTTAGTCTGGTATCATTTGCTGTTGCAGCTTGAGAGGATTCAACAACAAAGAGAGTAATAACTATTGTCAAGAGGTATGATTGCACCAACCATTATACAAACATGAGAAAGAAAGCAAAAATTAAAGATTTGAAGTAAAAATGATAAGGAGTCAAGGACATAAAAAAAAGACGACAAATAGTAAAAAACAATACACATTGCACAAAATAAATAAAAACTATTAAAGAAACTAACATTTTTAACAAAAATAAATTTATTTGAAACATTTATAAAAGTTAGAAGATCAAGATGAATTAAATAAATAAAAGTTAGAGTGCAGAAGTATTCATCTTGCCTTTGTTACAAGTGTAATAAATAAAAGTTAAAAAAATGATCATCTTTGGATTTATTCTATGCTGGTATATTTTTAGCGCAAGTGATTCTATTCGATTGTTTTAGAGTGACTAATTTATGCCAATATATTTTAATGTATAATGTTATGAAATAATATTACAGATTCATATAAATATTTAATATTGTTGTTTGCATAATATTTACAGGTGTCTGTCCATCTATCATTTTGTTTACTTTAAGAATCATCTGAGTGTGTGTGGGGATTTAGTGACAGTAAGAATATCTGAGAATTTGTGATGGGGTTGGTTTCACTGGAGCGTAATAGCTAATTACATTAATAGATCTAGGATATGTCAACTTTTACTATACAAAATTATGCATCAACACAGGAGAATTTTATCATCTCGGTTGTTTCTGGCCTCCCCTGAACCTTAATGTACTATATTTAAAATTTCAACATGACTAAGCAATCATGTAGCTTTTTTCCTTTTGCTATTTTTATTTTCAGTTGCCCCTCTGTCTCTCACACCTCATGTGGGTAAGATTGAAAACACAGATCAGCTGGCAGCCTCTGAGATACTTTGTAAAGAGGGTTGCCAAAATCTTGTCTTAGCTGTGGCACCGCCACCATTACTAGTTGGTGCTGTTATCCTTGGTCGAGGTCTTTCGGGTTTGGTTACCTGAAAAAACATTTAGTAGTAACAATTATATGGGTGGCATCACCAATTACAGACTAGCATACAATGAATCTCTATGAAAATTCAGTAATTTCATCCCCTTGCAATTTACAATTTTGTAAATTCATGATATACAATACTTGTCTTACCACTCCACAGGGGAAATGGGTTCCCACCTTCATTAGAAAGAAAATACATTTGAATGATGTATAAAACACCCCAATAATAAAATTCACTGTTAATAGAAAAATGATGTTTCTAGATGAAAAGTTGATTGGCATAAGCAGAGAGAATACACATCAAGCAAACCTCAATTATATAGTGAGTTGAAATGATTTATTGCTTGGAAGTGAAAATAGTAAAAAAAAAAATTAAAAATAAAATAATTGAAATTTACCTGGTTGTTGTAAATGTCAGAGCTCCTTGCTGCTTTCTCCTTTTCCAACCCCATATTTTCCTTCACCCAATCTGGCTTCTGAGCTGATTCTGAATTGTTTGGCCTCATCTTTGCTTTTTGCTTTTCCCTCAGGCCCTTCATGACCTCTAAACCCAACAAGAAGCACTTTTTTAAAGGCTCAAATTTGGAAGAAGCACATAAAAATTAAAACCCTTTTTCAAGAATAAAAGATAGAGTCGTAGTTGCTATTAACTAACCTTGAGTTGTGATGAGTCTATAAACTTGGCCAAGAACAAGGGTATCAGTGGGCTTGAGAAGCTTGATGCGAGTTAGGCGAACCGGGTTGGTGGTGTTGTCACTCTTATTGGGGCAATTTTCAATGTCCTTGGTTGGACACAATGTGGTGGAGATGAGAAGAGCAACATAGTGACCGGGGTTGGTTTTCATAACATGGCTGGCACTCACAGGAGCATAAAACTTGTCTACTTTTCCACTTGGGTGCTGTATCACTAGTGTTGCAGCATCAATGGCGTGGCAATTTCCCATTTCCTTCTTTTTTCAGAGTCAAAACGAACACCAAAATGATGAAGGTGGATGGGAATGTTGAAGCACTTGCTAGTCTTTATAGCAGCCACACAATCCCACAATTTTTCAAGGACCAAACTGATATACTGATATTCTCTAACTCTCTGCTACTGAATATGGGGGGTTAAATACTTATATATGTATAGCTCCCCCTATTCAAACTCTAGAGATAATTAGTTAAAAAATAAAGAAATACTTTTTTTTACTAAAATTATTATGTTAATACATTAATAATGATAAATGTTATTATTTTATTTTAAATCGATATTGTTAAAATAATTTTTTATATTGATGAGTGTAGAAAGAAGCCATTGTACAAACAAATGGAATGTAACTGAAAACAGGGCATGCCAATCGGGACCAAAGACAGAAAAAAGAGGTAATTGGGATGGTATCCAACGCGGATGCACGTGGCAAGCATGGATTGGATGCATGAGTTTGTGAGGAAACAAGTGGGACCTATGCAGCTGATGTGATGTGATGTACATCTCTCAAACATTACATTCTTTTGGGTCTACCGTGTTTGGGTAAATGACATGTTCCTATTCACAAAGTAATTGCCATGCATGTGATCCTCCCAAATACCTCCTTAGACCTGTTTTTGTCGGTTACATTAACATTACCAAGTTATCATGTCATTGCTGAGTGCATGCCACTGCACCCGTTAGCATTCCCTCTTTAATTGTAGGTGTTTTAACCCACTTTAAGAGCAATAATTAACCTGATTTAATATAATATTCTATATAATTATGTCGTCAGCATGTTATAATTTTTGTTAGATCAAAATAGTACTTTCAGAATACATAATAATTTCTTTAATTGGCACATCAAACACAGGTTGTTGCACGTAATTTGAAAGATAATTGAAGGAATACACATGGGGTTTATTTTGATGTAAGTCGGCTTTTTCAGTGGCAACTTTATTTTTTTACACACGTTACTCTTTCAACGGATATCCCAACATGGATACATAAAATATTGACATTATCAATTGTTTTCTGCTTTTGGTCTCGTTTACTCGGGAACAAGGATGGTGCATCAATGGTCAAATAGCTATAATCAACTGTGAGTTGCATCCCATGTTTGACAACCACAAGTCCACAACCACCAATGCCAATTATTATCACCAAATCTTGGATTGCATGAGAATTTCAGCACTCCTGTTTATACTTTAGCGACTATATTTCATTTTCTTTCATGATCATGCTTGGAATCGGAATATTACAGTGTACATTAGTGAAATAATGCAAGGATATGATGTTGTTACATGGCATATTAGAATGGCATGCATAAAACATAACTAAGGAAGAATAGTTTATATTTTAAATAAAAATAAATTGTTATATAAATTTAAATTTGAATTTGCATTCAAACTATATTTAAAATGTCAACATCTTTTGTTGATGTTATACTAACTCGATATCCCTACTTAAGAGTGATTTTGGTGTGATTATTGCAGTAGAAGAACATTTGACAATTTTAGGATTCTATATACATGTTCTCTTTAGTTATTGAAAATACGCAAAAAAAAAAATGTATGCCAATCAATTTTGGTATATGGTACTAGAGTGGAACATAAATAAAACCATGCATTTCTAACAATGTCCAATAATGTTAATAAAGGAGGGAATTTTGGCAGCAGTAGATGACGTGTAATTATTGATAAGCGAGCTAGCCGAATCTAGTAGTATATATAATAAAAATAAAGGTATTTGTTTCAAAAGGGTTGTATCTAAGTATTAAATCATACTTTTTTTTTCCCTTTAAAACAAAGGATTAGTATTGATAGGTGTGATTAAAATTATGAAAATTATATTGTAATGAACAAAGACTTGTAATAAAAAAAAATATAATAATTTGTTTACTCTATACAAAAGTGTTAAGATTTTATTCTTCCCGATTTTCACTCACATAACCAAGAATTGCCTCAATCCGATTTTAAAAGATATATTGATGGCCAAATTCACCCAAATAATTGAAATTTAATTTCTTAATAACTCGATTCGTTCTCCTAATTATAATTCTTAGTCCCTTAAAAAATTTTAAATAAGATAAACATTATGTTCAAGAATTACTCAAATTTTACAATTGTTAAACTTAAATTTTAGAATTTCACCAATCATGTTATTTGCTCCAACCCTAATTCATAATTCAATTTTTCAATTGTAAAGAGGAATCTTTAGAGACAAACAATTAATAAAATAATAATAATAATAATAATAATACTTAAATAAAGAATAGAATTTAATGGTTGTTCAAATTCGAATTCCTCATCTTCTAACCATAGAAATTTACCAATCCATAGTACAGAGAAGAGATAGAGTGAAAAGAGAATTGGTATTTAAAGATGTTGTTTCCATAACAACATATAAATCTAGTCTAACTAAGAAAAAATTATTTTCTTTCGAGTTTTCTGCCTAAAAATTCTGTTTAAACAGTTAAAAAATTCTATTTAAATGTTTAACTGTGATCAGGTCGTAGCTACAAATATTTTGGGCTTTGAAATACCAACACTTGATCATCATAGTTTTCATCCTTTACTTTGATGAACATTAAATAATTCATTAATCCTTAATAGAAAGGGAGAGTAGGTAAGAAACATATGCATATTATGAATGTAGCTCTAGCTCTTTGATAACCACATCGTAATAGTTTCAAACAAAATTAGATTTCTCAAATAATTTTGCAATATAGAGAGCAAATCTAGGTCATCTCACAAGGACATAAATTCATTCTATTTTCAATTTTAAACATGCAACAATAATTAGATTTGGGGTGATTTTTAATAAATTAAACAGAAAAGTAAATTGGCAACAGAGAATTGAATTAAACCCAAAATGATATGCAGTAAAACAAATTGAATTGAAATTGAATTAAACTCAAAAAATGAATTAGATCTAAAAAATGAATTCAAGTTCAGAAAATGAAAACGAATTAAATCCAAATCACGAAAATAAATTTAAAACCTAGAAAAATGAAAACAAATTTTAAACCCAGAAAACGAATTGAAGGAAGAAAGAAAGCATTTAAAATGAAAGCAATCAAAACAAAAACAAAAACAAAAGTAAAACCAAAAACACAAATTAAAATGAACGCAAATAAAAACAATTAAAATGAACATAAACTGAAGGCAAAATGAAAGTAATTTAAAATGAAAGCAATTTGAATGAAAACGGATTTAAAAACAAAAACGAATTGAAAACAAATTGAAAATGAATGCAATTAAAAGAACAAAAACAATTAAGACTAACACGAATTAAAACCACAAATTGAAACTATGAATCACAAATGCAAACTAGGATTACTATACCGAATTTGCCTAAATCTAAAATGCAAAAGAAATCAATCAATCAATCTTACACTTAAGAATAAAAACCAAATTCAATTAAATTATGCATGCATAAATCTTAATCAAGAATTGCAATAAACTAAAAAGACAAACTCAGAGCAATCAATTGATCTTACAATCCACGCTTAAGATGAGATAATTTGCGAGAAAAGAATAATTAAGAACCGTAGCAGAATCAAAAATTAAATTTGTTGCAGAATCTGAAAAGGAGGCAATAATGGTAACAAAAGGTTTACTCTCAAAAATGGAAAAAGGTCTTACAGAAAATGAAAATTATCAAAAGGGAAGGTCGCAAAGTCAACCTTTTGACCCCTATATATACTAGTCTTAAATGAAAATGGAAATAAATGGGTCAATGCTGCACCAAGCAATTATAATAAAAGCCCTAAATAAGAACCCTAAATATAAAAGGTATGTTTTAAGTTTGAACTTCAAAGATTAATAAAAAGTAGCTCTGAACTCCAAACGGCATGGTCCATATATCCAAATTGAAGCCTAGGAAGTCAGGAATCCATTACAAAAAGAATCAGCCAAAAAGAAGATCTACAAAAAATGTTATGACCGAAATAGCAGACAAAGGTCAGAATAGAGAAAATATGAAATATTAAGCAAAGATAACAAGTATTCATGAAAACTCCAATTTAATGCAAGAAATGCAAAAACATGCTAAATGAAATAAATAAAGAAGGAAAGATATTTTGAAAGATGCAATAAGACTATAAATATGAGTACAAAATATGAGTCACCACTCTTCAGTTTCAAGAAATTGCCTATCTAATTTTGGGATAATTGTTTCCTAATAGTAGGTTACTTGATCAATCACATTCTTACTTCATTACATAAAGAGAAAAATCCCTATATATCCTTACGGGAAAAGGAGTGGTTCCTTATGACTAGAAAAGTAGTCAATGTTTTAACTCTTAAGATGTCTTGGTATGCATGATAATTCCCATACATCAATGAGCACTTTGTGGAATGATGGTTGATAAGTCTGTAATTAGACCCTCTTTTACAGCCCATATATTCATATTTGACCTTTATTATATTTGAATTTTACACTAATTTATATATTAATTGTACAATTTGGTATAAAAAGGTCGCAAGTGTATTTTGGGTCCAAATTGATGAAAAATTAAAGCTCGCAGTAGTCAGCATGCCCGACCCATTCAATAAGCATGGGGGTGCTTCGAGCTCATGCATGGTCGTGCTTAAGGTCTTGCACAGCCGAGCTCATTTGCAGAAAGCCTAATTATGAAGAGTCTTTAGGGTTTTCAAACCCTATTAAAAGAGAGACCTCAGGCATCGTAAAAGAGACTATTTTTGACACATTTTTACGCCTTGGCTTTTGCTCTTTCACCTTATCTCTCTACTAGGGGAATCTTTGGCATATTCTTGACAAGACTTAGAGCTTCGAGCTACCGTACTTTTCTCTATGACTTTGTTTATTATTGTTTTAATACTTTTCTTTAGCATGAGTAATTAAGTCCATAGCTAAGGCTATAGGAACTATCATTCATGAATTTATGAGATTTTGATGTTTGAATCTAAATTTAATTTTTGTTTGTGATTAGATTTTATCTTATTGCGCTTCTCTCTTAATCCTAATTAATTATATTGTCATGCAACCGTACATCAGTTAATGAATAGATTTATAGGGTAAAACGAGACAAAGGATTAGGTGGACCAAACCAATTTTTTTCTTCTA